TTCTGGGTCAGTCTCAAGGGCAGCCCACGTAGAGCGAGTTACCTAATATCCAGTCTGGAGGTGACCGTCGCGTGGATCACAGTGGCTAGGTCAGGGCGAGAGAGATAAGGAGCCAACTGCTTAGCTTGGCGGAGATGAAAAAATGCCGCCTTTGTTATAGCTGTAATCTGCGCCTCCATAGAGAGGGAGGTATCGAAGATTACACCCAAACTCTTAACGGATGATGTTGGCACTAATTGCACCCCCGCAAGAGATGGGAGTTGCCCCCTCAATCCCATATCGCTCCGTCCCAGCCAAAGGACCTCTGTCTTCGAAGGATTTAACTTCAACCGGCTCCCACGTAACCATCCAGCCACAGCTTCCAGACATCTGGTCAGTGTATCTGGGGCCGAGTCAGGGTGGCCGTCCATCAACAGATAGAGTTGGGTGTCATCGGCATACTGATGGCAGCCCAGCCCAAAACTCCGGACAAGCTGGGCGGGGGGGCGCATAAAGATGTTAAAAAGCATCGGGGAGAGAATCGCACCCTGAGGCACTCCACACACCAAGGAGTGGCGCGATGACAATTCCCCCCCAAGCGCCACCCTCTGTCCCCGACCAGAGAGAAACGAGCGCAGCCATTGAAGGACTGTGCCCTGGATCCCCACGTCGGCAAGGCGGTGGTCCAGGAGTTCGTGATCGACCATGTCGAAGGCTGCTGACAGGTCTAGAAGAATCAGCAGCCCCGACCCGCCTCGATCCAGCTGCCTACGGAGATCATCTGTTAGGGCGACCAGAGCCGTCTCGGTCCCATGACCAGCGCGGAAGCCAGACTGGAATGGATCGAGAGCCGATGTTTCATCCAGAAACCTACCAAGCTGTTCAGCAACCGCTCTCTCAATCATCTTACCCAGGAATGGAAGATTTGAAACCGGGCGGTAATTGGATAGATCTAGAGGATCTAATGATGTTTTCTTTAAGAGTGGACGCACCACTGCCTCCTTCAGTTCCCCTGGGAATATCCCGGTGCCAAGGGACAAATTGAGGATATCACCCAGGGGGGCCCGCACCTTGTCTGGACACGCTCTAATCAGCCAAGACGGGCACGGGTCCAGAGGACAGGTGGTTGGCTTTCCAGCTTGGAGGAGTCTGTCCACATCGGCTGGGGATATCCGGTCAAGTCTTTTCATGTAGGTGAAGGTGCACATCCTCATTAAGGGACGCCAGTGGTTGCAAAGCTGCTCAGAGCTTGAGCTGAATTGCTAACAGAAAATATAATAAGAATAATAAGAATAAGAATAATTTATTATTTCTACCCTGCCCATCTGGCTGGGTTTCCCCAGCCACTCTGGGCAGCTTTCAACACAACATTAAAAACAGAATAAAACTTCAAACATTAAAAACTTCCCTAAACAGGGCTGCCTTCAGATGTCTTCTAAAAGTTGGATAGTTGTTTATTTCCTTGACATCTGATGAGCGGGCGTTCCACAGGGCAGGCGCCACTACCAAGAAGGCCCTCTCTGCCTGGTTCCCTTTAACCTCACTTCTCGCAAATATTAAGCTGTAATCTAATTGTTACAACAGCAAGAATTGGGGCTTCCAGATGGCTTCTGTTTTAGGTAGTGCCCCCTGTTTTAAAGGATTATTTCCCATGTCACAAATTCACAGGCCTTCAAAACACTTTAACTACTATTTATTTACAAGAAGCATAGCCAGAAATATTGATTTCGTACTCTAGGTTGCAGGCTATTCTCCTTTTCTCTCACACACATTCACACTATGGGTAAAATGGAGATAATAGGATGAGTCTCAGTGATGGGGTGGGGGAGCCTATAGACTCATTTCCTCAGACTTTCCCCAAAATATAGACTGTGTGGGATGTGGCTGGCAGGGGATGTGGCAGTGAGATCATAAACAAGATTATCCATTAACAGCTGCTATTGATTTCAGTGGGATTTACTTCCACATAACTGTGCTTGTAGTCTAAGAAATTTATTAGACTACAATTTTTTGCCAACTACAGTCCACTTCATCAGGTGAATGAAGCCTTATTCTCCTGCAATTTCCAGTTCACTAAGAAGAGGGATTTATTGTTAAACCAGTCTGGAAATTGCAGTTCTGTGAGAGGAATAGGTGTCTCCTAACTATGCTAAGCACCCTTAACAAACTATAGTTCCCAGGATTCTTTGGGGGGAAATGTTTACTGTTTTAAGTGGTATGATACTGCTTTTAATGTATGGTGCAGATGGGGCCTCACTAACAATGTGTGTGTATAAACACAGGGTAACACTTTATTTATCTCAAGTAGTGAGCTGTGATGCACACACATTTATGGCACAATAATGTGCTAGTTTTTAAATGCCACAAGGATTTTTTAGTTGCTTATGCTGCAGGAGACTAACATGGCCACTCCTTTAGAAATTATAATTATGCTGAAGTCTTACAGTCCACGAGGGCATATTAATCCTCCCCTGCCCCCTCCCCAAATCTGTAAAGTAAATATGACCAAAAATAAATAGATAAACATAAAGGATCCAATACCTGATCAAAAAGTAATGAACTGTAATTATGCTTAAAGTTGGTAAACAGTAGTTCTGATATTGGGATTCACTGTGGGGGAAAATATGAATAATACATGAGAGCACACTCACTAGGGACTATGTTCTGTTGAACTCAATAAATCTGTTTATGATCACGTTGCAAGAGCTTCCAAACAGTGTGCAGTGTTTTAAGAGCTACAGGAAACAATACAAGTTTTTTGAACTAACTTCATAATTGCAAAAACACAAGACATTGCAAAACTGGCACAGTGTTTCAGAAACAATTAGGTACATCAATAGTTTGGAAGATCTGGTCCATTGTAATTTCACAGCTTTTTCTAATTACTATTTTCCCATTTCTGACTTGACTGAATATATTTCTCTTTAATTCAGCATAAACAAGCCGTTATGAATTCCAGACATTAGTATACAGTACTGAGATAGTGGTCCTCTGCCATTGTCCTTTTAGTTAACATACACAATAACATTAAATGCTTCTTGTGGGGAAATAGTCCATCTTTATCATGGGTGAAAATGCACTAGTCCATGTCTTGAGCTGCTCATTCTCCCTGTCTGAATTGTTTAGAGTTAGTACACCAGTTGCACTGGGTGGCTTAGAAACAGTCTGAGGCTAAATGCCTGGAACACAATTTATTTACCCTCCCCTTCTCCAAGGAATGTGTGTATGTACATGGGGTATAAAGATGTGGGTATAAAGCCAAGGCTGAAGAGTTTTTGCTCAGTGCAAGGTAGCAGCAAATAAGCTGAAGATTACATACTGTATGGTTCAATATAGTATGGTGAGCCAGCATGGTAAAGTGCTAGCGGATTTTTCTGTATACTTGTATCTTTACAAGGTTTACTATTAAGACCAGAAGAACTGTATTATAGTAGATTAGTTCATGATGTGTCAGCATCTCCTAAAGTTTATGTAGCTAGCGTGTTTATGCTTGTGCCATGAGACTTTATATTCTAAACTGAACTGATTGAGATTGGAGTTTTCTTAACTGGGAACTCTGGAAAAGGCTGACTACAGTATTAGAGAGCAGGAAAACTCTGATGTTCTGCTGGAACACTCTGCTCAGAGATGGATGATTTAGGGGAACACAACCAATTCTCCCACACTGGACACCAAGCTGAGTGGGTGCCACAGTAGACATTGCAACAATGGGAGGCGAGAGACGGGGTGGTATAATATCAACAACAGATGGTGGGCCCAAGTCTCTAACACAGGCTTCCTCAACCTCAGCCCTCCAGATGTTTTTTGAGACTACAATTCCCATCATCCCTGACCACTGGTCCTGCTAGCTAGGGATCATGGGAGTTGTAGGCCAAAAACATCTGGAGGGCCGAGGTTGAGGAAGCCTGCTCTAACACGTTCATGGGCCAACTGACTTCTACAAGTCGTAACATTATGGCCATTCTGTTTGTGTGTTGGTTTTCCCCACAACTGTAATACTCCCAAAAAGGTTTGTGTTAACAGTCCCTTGTGGCCCCTTTCATACTGTTCCAAACTGTGATCACTAAGTGGCTGATCAGGGCTTTACTTTTTTGATCTGCATTGTTTTAAGAAAAAAAAGATATTTGAAACTGTGGGTCTGGATCTGTGTGTTGATTAGTTTTATTCTTTAATTCCTGGAAGAGAGAGACCAAAAGATTTGTGCTTGTGGGCATGTCCAGCATATATAATGGTATGTCCCTTTTATCACACAGCTAAGCCGGCAGTTATGAGAAACCAGGTTGATTTTGGAGAGTTTTAGTGGGTACCACACCATCCATGTGTCACCTTTAACATAATTTATTGGGTGTGTGAGGAAACTAATTTTGGGACTGACTGATCGTGCAATTAGTTCTAGGCCATCTCCTCTATTTCTTTACCACAATCAGTTTCCCATAATTTCCTGAGACTTTCTATAGTACCCATGTCTAAATATAACAATATTCCATCAATATTAGAGACCAAACTTGTATTACTGAATCAATATCTGTCAGCTAGATACTCTAAGGCAAGCAAAGGAGGTTTGGGTTTACTCTTTCATTTTAGCTTGTGCAAAGGATCCAGCTCAGGTTAATAATGCAGTTTTTAAACAGATTGGAATATTTAATTCTCTCTGTATTTATTTTGTGAGTATCGTACGCAATCCGGTTTAATCTGAGGTTAGAATGTTAAGTGGCATCTGATGCATTTCTTATGCAGCAGAAGCTTCCGGGAAGAGCCACAGGTCAGGGAAAGCGCTCGTGCTTTGCATTCACAAGGCGCAATACTCTGCTCTCAGCGATGCAGTCAAAAAGGGTCGTAAGAGGGGGAACGGATGAGATGCTCATAGAGCCCGGATAACGTGGGCAGCGAGAACCAACGATTACTTCCAAGGTCGCTTCACACGTTCGTATTTAATGAGAAAAAGAGGGCAGCCTTTAAAGTGGCAAGGGCAATACTTAGCCAGATGCAACGGAAGACGGGCTCCTGAGCTTCTTCAAATTAACCCATAACAAAATTCAGCAGGTGTTCAGCTTCTTTTACCTCTGGAGCCGTTTGCCGCATGCTTTAACCCAGCCTGCTACCTGCGCGCATGGGTATGATTTCAAAGTGCCAAGTGGAGCGAGAGAGAAGGCGAATAACATGGTCAGGAGGGAAATGCATAAGGAAGCGCGACTGCGAGAATAAAAGCAGGAAATGGGTTTAAGAAGGAACAGGTTTGCATTTCTTTGAGGAGCGGGGCTCGCGCTCCCAGCCCTTTCTTTTACTTTTCTCTTTCTCCCTTCAATTGCCGCGGGAGACGAAAACTGCGGGGAACCAGATCCATTGGAATCCGTGATCCCGAAGAAAGATGCTTAAAGTTTCAGAGGGAAGCCAGAGGAGGAGGAGGAGGGCGAAAGAGACGCCGAGAGAAGTCAGCTGACCGCTTTGGCTTCACGTGACGTCCCAGTCAACATGGCTGCGCCCAGGCACAGGCCGCTTTGGTTCGCTCTCGCTTGCTGGGCTGTGTGGCTCCGCGCCGCCGTGTGCTTGGAGGGAGGCCAAGGCACTTGTGGCTGCAGCAGCGCCAACCGGGCCAGCGGCGAAGAAGCAGCCGCGAGGAAGTACTCCCTGGAGGCGAATGTCGCCCATCAGCCAAGAGGCGGGCCGGAAAGCCCGCAATGGAAAGAGGAGGGCAGGCAGGTAGGTGGGTCAAGCGAAAGCGGTCGAAGGATACCTGTGGGGAGAAGAAGGGGGCGGTACAGATGGTGGCACCGCAGAGACCAGATTAGGAGCACAGCGAAGTTTGGTGAACTTGCTCCAGTGGACTCTGCGGATGGCATTTGATCCGAACCAATGGCTTCAAAGTATAAGAAAGGAGATTACCACGGAACAACTTTCTGACTGTTCGGCAGTGGAACAGACTCCCACAAGAGGTGGTGATGGCCATCATGTATGATCTAGCTGAGATTCCTACATTGCAGGAGGTTGGGCCACATGACCCAATCAGAGTCCTTTCCAACTCTACAATATGATCCTAAGAGGACCTCAGGCAAGGTTACCCAGGAGGTATCCTTAGAAGTGCTGTGTGAACAAGTGTGGTTGTGTGCTTAAGTCTAAGGCAGTGTTTCCCAACCGGTGTTCCGCGGCACACCAGTGTGCCGTGAGACCTTGCCTGGTGTGCCGTGGGAGGGAGGCGGGAGAGGCGGGGCAGCGGCGGCATCTCCTGCTGGATGCAAATCCAAACATTGCGGGCGGCAGCCTGCAGCGCGGAGCGCGGGGCGCCCTTTGGAGGACGCCCTGTGCTTCGCGCAGCTGTCCGCAAGCCTTGGGCGCCTGGGGGAACTCCCCCCCCGGCGCGCAAGGCTTGCGGGCGGCAGCCTGCAGCGCAGGGCGCCCTTTGGAGGACGCCCCGTGCTTCGCGCAGCTGTCCGCAAGCCTTGGGCGCCTGGGGGAACTCCCCCCCCGGCGCGCAAGGCTTGCGGGCGGCAGCCTGCAGCGCAGGGCGCCCTTTGGAGGACGCCCCGTGCTTCGCGCAGCTGTCCGCAAGCCTTGGGCGCCTGGGGGAACTCCCCCCCCCGGCGCGCAAGGCTTGCGGGCGGCAGCCTGCAGCGCGGAGCGCGGGGCGCCCTTTGGAGGACGCCCCGTGCTTCGCGCAGCTGTCCGCAAGCCTTGGGCGCCTGGGGGAACTCCCCCCCCGGCGCGCAAGGCTTGCGGGCGGCAGCCTGCAGCGCGGAGCGCGGGGCGCCCTTTGGAGGACGCCCCGTGCTTCGCGCAGCTGTCCGCAAGCCTTGGGCGCCTGGGGGAACTCCCCCCCCCCCGGCGCGCAAGGCTTGCGGGCGGCAGCCTGCAGCGCGGAGCGCGGGGCGCCCTTTGGAGGACGCCCCGTGCTTCGCGCAGCTGTCCGCAAGCCTTGGGCGCCTGGGGGAACTCCCCCCCCGGCGCGCAAGGCTTGCGGGCGGCAGCCTGCAGCGCGGAGCGCGGGGCGCCCTTTGGAGGACGCCCCGTGCTTCGCGCAGCTGTCCGCAAGCCTTGGGCGCCTGGGGGAACTCCCCCCCCCGCGCGCGCAAGGCTTGCGGGCGGCAGCCTGCAGCGCGGAGCGTGGGGCGCCCTTTGGAGGACGCCCCGTGCTTCGCGCAGCTGTCCGCAAGCCTTGCGCGCCCAGGGGAACTCCCCCCCGCGTGCACGGCTTGCGGGCGGCAGCCAGCAGCGCGGAGCACGGGGCGCCCTCCGTAGGAGGCTGCGGAGGGTGGCGCGGAGCTGCCCGCGCTCCAGGGCTTCTTGCAGCTCCGTGCCACCCCCGGATCCCGATGTGAAGCCGCGCGGGGCTGCGGAGGGTGGCACGGAGCTGCCTGCGCTCCAGGGCTTCTTGCAGCTCCGCGCCACCCCCCGGATCCCGGCGCGAAGCCGCGCGGGGCTGCGGAGGGTGGTGCGGAGCTGCCCGCGCTCCAGGGCTTCTTGCAGCTCCGCGCCACCCCCGGATCCCGGTGCGAAGCCGCGCGGGGCTGCGGAGGGTGGCACGGAGCTGCCTGCGCTCCAGGGCTTCTTGCAGCTTCGCGCCACCCCCCGGATCCCGGCGCGAAGCCGCGCGGGGCTGCGGAGGGTGGTGCGGAGCTGCCTGCGCTCCAGGGCTTCTTGCAGCTCCGCGCCACCCCCCGGATCCTGGCGCGAAGCCGCGCGGGGCTCCGGAGGGTGGTGCGGAGCTACCTGGGCTCCAGGGCTTCCTGCAGCTCTGCACCACCCTCTGGATCCTGGCGCGAAGCCGCGCGGGGCTCCGGAGGGTGGTGCGAAGCTGCCTGCGCTCCAGGGCTTCTTGCAGCTCCGCGCCACCCCCCGGATCCCAGCGCGAAGCCGCACGGGGCTCTGGAGGGTAGCGCAGAGCTGCCTGCATCCCGAAGCCTGGTGCGCGCTGAAGAGCGCCCCCGGGCTTCACGCACCTCTCCGCAAGCCTGGGGAGACCAGTGTGGCTCCCTAGGCTTGCGGATATCAGGCTGTTCTGGGGGCTGGGGTCGGGGGAAGCTTGGGCTTCCCCCGCGCCTGCCCCGTGCCTGGGGAGGGGAAATTTTTTTTTTCTTTATTCTCCCCCCAAAAAATTAGGTGCGTCTTATGGGGCGGTGCGTCCTATGGGGCGAAAAATATGGTAGTCAATATAGGCACAGAGTTAAATTTTTTAACATTTTCTAATGGTGGTGTGCCTCGAGATTTTTTTCATGAAACAAGTGTGCCTTTGCCCAAAAAAGGTTGGGAAACACTGGTCTAAGGCATATTATAGCCTTCCTCTGTGTGTATCCTTGAGTACCACCAGAAAAAAAACACCACTGGCATTTCTCAGCCTGGTGTCATCCAGATAATTAGGGCTACAATTCGCATCATCTTTTCCTGCCTGCCAGGCTGACTGAGGAACTCTAGGGAAGTGGCTGGGCAAAGGCAAAATCACTCAGACATGTGCCTGGAAAGCACGACTAGTGGAAAACCTCTTGGCCCTGTGCTCTCTAGGCATGGGGCAAACAGAAATGGGGATAAGCCCTTATTGTGGAGGTAGCCATAGGTTTTCCTCATCTAATGTATCACATGAGAGCTGGGTTGATCAAAATACCATTTCACCAGCTACCTTTGTTTAGTTTGTTGTGAAGAGGCCACATTTTCTCATTAATAAACTTAAGTATCTTTTTCTCCTGTGACAACACCCACACCCACAACATCTTGTGTGGACTTTTTGTTATTTCTATCAATAATATCACCATTCTATACCTCAGAAAGCAGAAATGGAATGATTTGCACAAGTTCTTTTTCACAACTCATGAGGATCCTAGGAGCTTGATTGCTTCACAGATTTGATCTGGTCTGGAATTTAGATTCTCCTGTTCATTGTTGGGTATAGCCACGCCGGCCCGACTGCACTGGCTGCCAGTTAGTTTCTGAGCCCAATTGAAAATGCTGTTTTTGACTTATAAAGCCTTAAATGGCTCAGGACTGCAATACCTCAAGGACTGCCTCTCCCCATATGAACTGACCCAGAACCAGTAATCATCATCTGAGGCCCTTCTTTATGTGCATTCTCCACAAGAGGTCCAGAGGGTGGAAATATAAAAATGGGCCTTTTCTTTGGTGGCTCCCCACTTGTGCAATTCTCTCCCTCAGGGAGGCTTGTCTGGCGCCTTCATTACATATCTTTAGGCACTAAGTGAAAACATTTCTCTTTAATCAAGCCTTATAATACTTACAATAATAGTAATAATGCCTAACAACTCATTGATTTGAAACAGGAGCACCATTAATGTGATGGCATTCAAAGATCTCAGGCAAATCACTTTCTCAGCCCTCAATGGGTATTATTTATTTTATTTATTTATTAAATTTATATACACTCTTCATCACATGATCTTGGGGTGGTTCACAGAATAAAATACAACATAAAAACACAAGTAAATAATTAAAGCAAAAACAATAAAATAATACTCCCCTTCCCACAGACACCTTTAAAAGGCTGTGGAATATTAATCAGTCCAAGGCCTGGTTGAAGAGGAACGTTTTCACCTGGAGCCTAAAAATATATAATGAAGGCGCCAGACGAACCTCCCTGGGGAGAGCATTCCACAAACGGGGAGCCACCACAGAAAAGGCCAGTTCTTGTGTTGCCATCCTCCAGACCTCATGTGGAGGAGGCACAGGAAGAAGGGTCTCAGATGATGAATGCAGAGTCCAGGACTCTGAAACTGAGGATTGCAAATGGGATTCCTTCATTCAGGCAGAACATGCATGCAGTCCAGTGCTGGAATGCTCAGATCCTTAAAAATATGTTAGCCCACACATAAGATATGAAACTGTCTTCAGATCTGCACACAGCTACCCTAGAGTTTGATGCTGTTGCTGTCTTGACCACTGAATTCCGAACTGTCTAGTAGAATAAAGGTCTGGTTGCATGGTACTAAGTGCAGCTTGATAAATAGTCTATCCCAATCAAAAGATATATGATTGCGTTGTTAATTTTAATGGGAAGACTGATATCTAGCAAGCATGACTGGGTGTGGGATGACCACTGTCAATGCTAAATAGAATTCATTTCTGAGAATGCTTGTACAGTTCTACCAGTCTTTTCTGGGTTGGTTGTAAGGTAATTAGAATTTCCAACTTTCTTTTAGGATTCTGGAAGGAGCATGGCAAATCTAAGGTTATTGCCATGATTGTATTTTGTGTGGATATGATTTTAAGCAAGTTTCTAGAAGACCATATGATTGCAAAAGAAGTGAAATTGAATGCCAGGACCCGTTCACACAACATTGGCAAAGAAAGAGTCCTGACACTGGTGTCCCTTCATAGTGTCTGAATGTGGCATCTGGACAGGTGTGGTGCCCTAGGTTTTCTCAAGTCTCCATGGTTGAAGTCATTGAAGTGCTTCCTAAGACCACTAAATAAAGACAGGAAGCATACATTTAATTCAGTGGCTGTCCTATTCTTGGGGCTTCTGGCAATTTGAAGATACCTTCTTACTTCTTACTTTATTATATAATCAGACTTCTAGCCTGCAGCGGCTTTTTTGCATATAGTAGGTGTCTTTGGGAGGGCGTGTGCCAACTGCAGTATTGGCAGTGGGTAGTTATCTAGGAGCTAGTGGGCAATTTCTGCTGGAGGCAGAATGTATTACATAGCACACATGTACAATATGTTCATAAATTGCAGGGTTCACTCTGCATCTTATTCGC